TGGTCGACATCTCCTCCTCCAGTCCAGTGGTCGACGTCTCCTCCTCCAGTCCAGTGGTCAACGTCTCCTCCTCCAGTCCAGTGGTCGACACCGTCCCCGGTCCAGTGGTCGACGCCGTCCCCGGTCCAGTGGTCGACGCCGTCCGGTCCAGTGGTCGACGCCGTCTCCAGTCCAGTGGTCGACGTCGTCTCCAGTCCAGTGGTCGACTCCTTCTCCAGTCCAGTGGTCGACGTCTCCTCCTCCAGTCCAGTGGTCGACGCCGTCCCCAGTCAAATGGTCGACGCCGTCCCCAGTCCAGTGGTCGACGCCGCCGTCTCCAGCCCAGTGGTCGACGCCGCCGCCTCCAGTCCAGAGGTCGTCTCCACCGCCTCCAGTCCAGAAGTCGTCGTCGCCGCCTCCAGTCCAGGAGTCAAGGACTTCTCCTCCAGCGTATCTGCCTCTGGTCACCGCCAGTCCTGCCCTCACCAGGCACGGGCCCCCAAGAACCCGTCGTCGCCTCCACCTCTGCCACAGACGCAGGCCCCCAAGAGCCCGTCGTTGCCTCCTCCTCTGCTACAGACGCTGACCCCCAAGAACCCGTTGTCGCCTCCTCCTCTGCCACAGACGCAGGCCCCCAAGAGCCCGTCGTCGCCTCCTTTTCTGCCACAGACGCAGGCCCCCAAGAGCCCGTCGTCGACTCCTCCTCTGCCACAGACGCGGGCCCCCGGACTCTACTGGTCCCTGCCTCCTCTCCATCAGCCCCTGGTCCCTCTTGGCCCTCCCTCCGGATCCCCCTCCTCCCACCCTGCTCTGTGTTCTTATGGGCGTCTGGAATCCGCCCTTTTGGGGGGGGGGGGGGATGTACTGTCACACCCTGTCCTGTCTCCCCATTTGGTTCAGCCTGCGTCTCTGTTAATTGCTCCCACCTGCCTCTCGTTTTCCAATCACCCAAGCTCCCAGCCCTCTTGTATTTAAACCCCTCCAGTTCTGTGTCTCTTGTTGGCTCATTGTTTCTATGTCCTGCGTGCTTGATATTAAAACTATTGTAAAACCGTTCCTACCTGTCTGCCTGCCTTCCTCACCCGGGTGTGGATCCTCACCTCATCTCCGCTTCGCTCACCGGCACGTTTGTGACAGATTGTTCCCCCAGTTCTGCCACAATCTTCTATTAGTCTTCTCAGTGTCACAGAAACTTGTGCAAATAAAAACGTGTAACTAGTTAAAAAACAGGCTTCTTGTGGGTTTTTACATCTGTACAGAAGTGATGATCCACCTTTGGTAATTCAAATGCGGTTAGGCAGAAATTAGCTTTATCTGATAAAGAAAATTAAGTTATCGTTCAAAGCTGAAAATCTAGAGAACAGGCTAGGTTTTGAACGCAAACACGATCATGAAACACTCCCCCCTCCCCTTGTACCTTCACTGGACCTGCGTCCACCAGGAAGCCACGTTGCCAGAAGAAACAAGAACATGCTAAACACCAGTCGCCGTTTTCTAGGTCCAAATGTCTTTTGCTGTTCGTGACTTCAAATGGTGTTTTTCTTTTTGGGACTCTGGTAGTTTGCCCTAAATTTGAAGTGGTAGCAGCCGGCTGTTTCTCCCCGATATTATAAAGCGGAGAACCTCGCACACCAGTGGTGTTCTGTTTCTACATACGGGGGTGCGTAATGAATGGAGGACCCAGGGAAGTGCAGTGGTTCAGCGAGACCAACAACTTGATGGCCCACTAGTTGCTGTATTTGTTTTCCAAATTTGCCGTTTTATTAAACTGACTGGAGGTTAAACACGCTTTTTTACTTGTTGCCCTCTGTACTAGTCCAGGTTGGGTCTCGGTGGGATTTTCTCCATGCTCCAGATCTGACTGTGACTCAAGTCCACTTAAAATAGAAAGGAAACATTAGTTTAATCTTATTTCTACATTCTATTTTAGATGATCTTGTGGGTTCTTGAGGAAATACCTTTAGCCATAAAAATAACAGATGGAGAACATGAATCAGCCGACTAGAATAAAAGTACAGCTGAAACAAACAAGTCACCCTTTAAATGTGTAAACTGTTGATGAAAATGTCACTTTGAGGTTGCATCTTTCTCTCTCTCTTACACACACACACACACACACACACACACACACACACACACACACACACACACACACACACACACACACACACACACACACACACACACACACACACACACACACACACACATACAATGTGGTCAAGAGATTTAATTAAATGACAGAAGAAGACAAAGACTGGGGAGAGAGGGAGGAGACAATTATGTAAACAGTCTTTGATCTGCTAAGTGGGTGGTCTTCTCACACACACACACACACACACACACACACACACACACACACGCACGCACGCACGCACACACACAAAGGATGTTTTTTTTTTAGCACAGAGCACTGATTTCTGTTCCCCGTGAACATAACCCCACCATCCTGCATCCAATCACACCTTATTATTTAACCTGACCAGAACCTCAGAAATCACAGGTGCTTTTGGACCACAGGGGACCACTTCAACGTCTGACGTAGTTCATCTTCATTTTTTATTAAACCTAAAGTGCCTGAATTGTGGCGGTTACCATATTTCTCAGGTCTGTTTTGGCTCCTGCTCTCTGGGGGATCTGATTGGTCCATACACGAGCGCACTTTAGCCTGTTCTTTCTGAGGCATGTGCAACACAAAGCAGACGTATTTGTAGAGGTCGCCACCTCCCAGCTCTTTTCTGTTTGTGCTTTTGTTTAAATAAAACTCTTCTTTCCATTTTAAATGGCAGATGCACAGCTGCATCTACTGAATGTTGTGATCTAGTGATGCAGCACATGTTGGTAAGGTGAAAGCGCCTGCCCCTTTACAGCTACAGGCTTCTCAGCCAGGGGAGTAGCCTCAGAAGGGCACCTAAATATTCTCCCTGAGGGACTCCAACCATCCAACAACAGTTTGGTCATGAACAACTAATATCTTATCCTGCACCGTGCCAGAATTAAGGCTAAAGTCAGAATAAAGTGGATCAGGAGCAGAACATCAACACGTTGGATCCAGGTTAAGGAAACTCCGCACACCTTAGTCCCTCTGAGAACTTGTGGTTCATTCTCCAGAGACAGGAGGACAAACACAAACCCTCAATTATTGAAAAACTCCAAATATTGATGTTAAAGAATCTGCCAGGAACACTGAAGATCCGGACTCTTTGGATCTAATTCATGCAATTGTTAATAATTAAGTATTTATAAACTTTATGATGGAGACAGAGATTTATCTTTATTTCAAAGTATTTTCAATTTTTCATAAATAATACCAAATTGAAAATTATTTTTACCTCAGTTGATCAGAAAGGGTGAATCATGAACTTTAATCTGTACTTGGTGTTTGTGTGCAGATGTTTGCTGTGCATCATATTAACTGTATGTTCTCTTGTTTCTGTGTGTGCATGCATGCGTGTGTGTGTATGTGTGCATGCATGCGTGTGTGTGTGTGTGTGAGTGTGTGTGTGTGTGTGTGTGTCCCCTCTTCATGTCGTTTCTTTTCTTGGCTTAATGTCCGTATCTAAATTCATGCGCTGCATGGTGGCGGTGTGATGATGGCGGGCCAGATCACAGACGGATTGTGTTGGATTTGACTTGAAGCTTCTTTAATCATTGTAACACCATCATTAATATTCATGCTGTCAGCTGGAACACCCGGCACTCACTGCTTCAAACTTTCTGCACAAAATTTATTAAATACAGCTTAAAAATGAACGGACTTTAGTTGATATTCCATAAAAATGAAGAAGGGAGGCAGGGGGCACACAGCTCCCCTTGTCTTCCCCCTCTCCCCTGATTGGTTTATGTAGATTGCTTCCCTGATTGGCCTTTGTGTTTTCCTTTTTTTTTTCCTGCACATTTTTCCATCTTTGACGAGACTTCAAAGCGAAAGCGAGGCATGAACGGTCATTTAGAAGGATTTAAGCACATTATCACATCTGTAATTGTACATGAATAATAAGGAGAGCTGCCACAATCAATTAGCTTTCAGTCCACAAAAAGATCAGAACCATGGGTGGAGGAGGGATGAGGGGGTGTAGCAGGAAATTAGAAAAGTTTTAAAGTGAAGAAGTGCAGCGTTAACTGTAATCGGCCTGTTTCACGGCCAGAATCGGCGACTGTGTTGTTGTAAACACCGCTATCTGGTCAGACGAAGGCCCAGGTTAGGTAGCACTAACACCTGGGGCGTTCTCCTGAAACCTGAGAAGAAATGTTTGGTCAGGTTTTCTGCTACACTTGAGTGGTTTTATCCCACACCATCTTCAGAACATAGGAACGTCTGCTGCTTGGTCTTTATGGTCAGATTCAGTCAGAGCTACTGGTGTTCTAGGAGCCTTCTGGAATGCCTCCAAACATCACCATGAGTCACAGCACCTCATTCTCATTCTGTACAAATCTGGTTCATAATATCACCGTTAGTTCATAATATTAGTATCATCCGGTATTTATTTTTAGTCAGTGTTTAAGAAAACCATCGGAGTTTAGGTAACGTTGGTCAGCCTTTGGAGGAATCGGAGACTGAACTGAATAAAATGAGATTATATAGAGATGTTGTGATTAAATTCCAACAAGAACATTTGCTCAACCCTTTTATTTTGCTCACATTTACATCATACAGGACTCACAAGCGAGTAGAAATGAACCGTTAGCGCTAGCAACTCCACCACACAGCAGAACTCCTCCAGACTTGTGTTATTTATGGAGCTAAAACATCAACGTTGCAGAGCAAGCAGAGCCAGTGGTAGAGTTGTGTTGCTGTTAGCCAATCGGAGGCAAGATGTCCAAATATCAGGAAATAAGAGTCCAAATCTGTCCGTTTCCCGCTACTTTCTCCTCCAGCTGATGGCTACAATCTCAAACGGGCACATCAGAGCTTTCTAGTTGATCTTTACTCATTTTTGATCAGATTGGTGGTTTTAAAATTGTAATGTGAGCAACTGGTGAAAATGAGATCAGTTCTTTGTTTCCTTCTTTAAATCTAGCTAATCCCAGCGTGAACGTGGAGCTCCGACAGCGTCTGCCTGTACCTTACTTACAGGACCTCAGTGCTGCCGACAGGTTGGTCCAAATCATTAGAATTACTGGTGCTGATACCACCATCAGAACTGGGAGGAGTTGTGTATGGCGTAGAGAAACATATAAATGTCCTTTTACTTATATTAAACCTTTGTTTTTCACAATAATCTGTTGATTCGGTCAGATTGAGGGTCGTAACTCCATGTTGTCTGACAATTTTACAGAATAGGAACCAGTCTGAGACCAGACACACACTTAGCTCAAGGTAACAACCATCCATCCATCTTGTTTCCATTCCAAAACACTATTATAACTATCTAACGCTCTGTTACATTATTTCCTGTTTGTCTTTTAGCTCATCAGCACTTTCAGGAGACTCCAGTCTCTTTCTCTCCATCTCCTGTCTCCCATTTGAGGTCCTCGACTCCCGAGTCTCCTTTACCCAACAGGAGCCCTGTGACACAGTTGTCAGGGGACATGGAGGCAGATCTTCTCCTTAGCAGGGCTGGCTCTCCTTGGCCAGAGAGCAGCAGGGATGAAGGTGTAGACTCCAGAGGTGGAAGTAGTCCCATCCTGAGAAGACACCTTGTCACTGCTGCTGACAGGTAAGAGGGTAGATCTTTGCATTACTACCATTACTAATGCTAGTGCTGCTAGCATAGCACACAGCTGTAGGACACTAATAAAGGGGCGACGGTGGCTCAGGGGTCAGACGTTCGCCCTGTATCCAGTGGGTTGCCAGTGTTAGTCACTGTGTCCTTGGGCAACACACTTCACCCTCCTTGCCTGCCGGTGGTAGTCAGATAAACTGGTGGTGCCTCTCTTCTGTCTGTGCCCCAGGGCAGCTGTGGATGCGATGTAGCTCATCACCAGGACTGTGTGAGTGTGCAAATAACTGAGTGTAGTGTAAAGTGCTTTGGAGTCCTCTGATTTAGAAAAGCACCGTACAGTTGCAGGCCTTTCGTTACAGTTTCAGTCCCACAGATGATTTATGTAGACAGGAGCTGATCTGGAAGGAAAAATTTACTCTCAAATCAGAAGAATTGCCATCCCTTTATATTTTAAAACTATTTGATAGTGGAGCTCAGTTTTAGGATTTGCATAAAAGCCTTCAGTTGTAATATGTTGTTGTTAGGGACTTTATCAATCGCCTAATACCCGCAGTTGAAGAGAAAAGAGAGACGATTAACCACACACTTTCCGTCTTACAATCGGGGCAGATCTGCTCACAAAGCGAGACTCACGAAACCGCGAGGAGACGCAGCCCTGAGAGCTTTATTTATACTAGAACAGAGAGAGACGACAGTGTGTGTGTGTGTGTGTGTGTGTGTGTGTGTGTGTGTGTGTGTGTGTGTGTGTGTGTGTGTGTGTGTGTGTGTGTGTGTGTGTGTGTGTGTGTGTGTGTGTGTGTGTGTGTGTGTGTGTGTGTGTGTGTGTGTGTGTGTGTGTGTGTGTGTGTGTGTGTAAGGAAGAGGTCACAGTGTCTGAGTTGTAAGGAAGTTACACGATGAGCAAAAGTAATACATCTGGGCAATGAAAAACATAATCATAATAATAAAACATTACATTTCTATAACAGTTGGTTTTTTCAGCTTTAGGTGAAAGAAAAATAAATCAGCATTCACTTACGAAGGGCCTGAGAGGACTCGTGTGTAGCAGATATGTTTTACAGTAACGATTGGGGGAAATCGATGCATCATCAGTGAAAAGTGGTGGTTCTGAAGCAGGATGATGTCAGAGCTGAGTCTCTGAGGACATGGAGATCCTTGTAGGTTCAAAGGACGGCAGATGGATTTCTTTTAAGTAGTTTAAATGTTGTTTTGCTTCTCATTCAAGGAATTTTCTCAGTTCATACCAAAAGTGGAAAGTACCAAAGAGTTGGATTTTAACTTCTGTGGTTCTGTAGTCAGCTACGTGAGCAACTTCACACTGGACAGCACTCTAGCTCTCTGCTGACCAGAAGCTGCGCTAACCAACCATGGTGGTGGGGTAGGCCCAAATGGACGTCTCTACCTGCTTTATGAATTTACTGTTCCAGTAGGTCATATGAAGGCTAACAGTTAGCTTTTTCAGTTCAACGACCATTAATGAAAACCGCAAGAAGAAGAAAAATGGTAAACAGCCTGTCCTAGCACCTTCTAGGGCTCTAAAAGCCCCCAAGGCACTTTACAACACCAACAGCCATTCACCCACACACACACACACACACACACACACACACACACACACACACACACACACACACACACACACACACACACACACACACACACACACACACACACACACACACACACACACACACACACACACACACACACACACTGCTGTTGATGAGCTACAATAGCAGCGCTGGGGCGCGCTGAAGAACGTTTTGGAAATAAAGTCACCAGTCGAAAAACAAAGATGAAACTTAAACCTGCTGGGGCAGCAGATGCTCAGGAGGTAGAGCTGTAATCAGACGGTTGTAGGTTCAACCCCGGCTCCCACCAGAGAACGCTGCTGTTGTGTCCTTGGGCAAGACACTTAACCCCCCCTTGCCTGCTGGTGGTGGTCGGAGGAAATGGTGGCACCAGCGTTCTGCAGCCTCGCCTCTGTCAGTGCGCCCCTGGGCAGCTGTGGC